CCGTGGAATTGAAGCTTTGTCTTTGTGCAAACTTTCCAGCTGTGGAAACTCCGGCACCGCTCTAAAGATTAATGGCACTTCTTGGCAAAGGATGGGAAAAGCAAACTTCTCTGCTATACAAGGATTAAGTCTTAGCCTAGAGGCAAACTGTCCCCGGCCTCTGCAGTGAGGTTATCTCACAGAGAACATTCAGGCTGTTTCTCAATAGAGCCTGTGCTGGAGTCAGCCAATGTTTCCTAGTTAGTAAGATTATGTCCCATCCGGCCAGCATGCAGAGTGGTGCTGAGTTTCTTCTGTCTCTCAAACACACACACTTGTGTGAGGTGCACACCCATAATGACTCAGTATCAGACAGAAAGAATGGACAGCTGATGAGCAGAGAGCAAGGAAACATGAAGAACATTCTAGCACAACCCGTGTTGTTGGATCTCCTCATGTCTGGAAGCCAGAACATGAGCCACAGTAGCTTGCCCTTTCCTGCATCTGCCTGGAAATGCTGCAAATAGAAGGAAATATTGAGCAAAAGTAATTAGCTAATGAGGACCTTAAATGCCAGTTTAATAGCAGCATTAATAATAAAGTAAAGTTTTATTGGGTTAATAGAGGTTAAGTGGCAATCTTAGTAAAATGGTCATTATAGATTTTCTTCTTTGCAGGCAATGAACAGAACCTTCTGAAAAGACTGATTATTATAACTGCCTCCTCTGCATTTTCTGTTTCTCAAAAAGAGGTGTTTCTAAAGGTTTTAAAAAATGATTACCACTTTTTGCAGGGCCCCCTGTCTGAGGCCCTGGACCTGAGGTCCAGGAGCTGCGTCTTTAAAGAAGCCCTTACAGGGAACTCTGTCGGTTGCTCAAGGCTTGCTGCCAACAAACAATTGAGGTATTTACCAAGGGTTTCCAAGAAATTGCTGCAAATTATATGAAATGTTATACCTGTTACAGGAATTCAATGTATTAGCAACAGAAAAAATAAATGTAATGTGGGTGGGAACAGAGTTGCAATTTGTGAGAAAAGGTTCAGTAATGTAGGTAGAGATGAGTTTTAGTTACATGACATGGGGAATTGCACTGCATGAAGACAGAAGTGAAGTTAGACAGCATGGCATCTTTGAACAGATTTCTAAATATCAGTCTCGAATCATGGAGAAGGGACTTTTAACATGATGTGTGGAAACACCCATTTGGAGATGAGGAAACTGAGCCCCTGAGGTGGGGGCTGAGGCTTGTTCTTGATGGAACTTCCTCATGGACAGGGACGACCAGAACCCCCATTCTGCACCTGAGCTGGCCGGGGACCCCCACCTCAGGTGGCGTGTGTGCCATTAGGAGTCTTCATTCTTATTAACTAAGGGAAGTTTGGGGCTTCCCTTACAAGTTTTTCTGGTTGTGTCTAACACCACTCCCCCCCCCCTGCCTTTTTAAGTTTATTTATTTATCTCATGCTGAGAGACACACACTCAGCATGAGTTGGGGAGGGGCAGAGAGAGAAGGAGAGAGAGAATCCCAAGCAGAGCCCAATGCAGGTCTCCAAACTTATGAACCGCGAGATCATGACCTGAGCTGAAATCAAGAGTCTGATGTTTAATCCACGGAGCCATCCAGGTGCCTCAAACACCACTCCTTTTTTAAGATGAGAAAAATGGTCAACGAGTCCCTCAACTTAAGAGGGAGGGCTCCTAGTGCAGCAAAATCGAGAAATGGTTCTTTCTTCTGTTTGCCGAGGTGAAAAGCCGAGGAAATCAGATCAGCCTGACTTCTCACCTTTAAAAATAGATTGGGGAGGGAGATACAGGGAGTGTGGAGCTGCCTGGCCTGGAGGAGGTTTTGAAGAGGGTACCGTGTGTGCATTGGGAGGCTGGGGGCTCAGATGCACGCCAGCCTCCCAAGATCCTTGCTGGTAATGACTGGGCAGGAGTTTGTGGGGCTGGTGTCTAGACAGGCAGGCCTCCACACTGCTCTTACCAACACCATTTTGGCCCTTTGGGCTGTCACTGAAATCCTTGGTTCCAGGCATTTGCCTTCAGCTATGAAATCCCCACCATTACTGCTCTGCCTCGTGATTCAGGCCTCTGCAGGGGCCCTTGATAAGACATCTTTAGATTCTTCCCAGGGAGAGCGACCTCAGCCTGAGGATCCAGTTGCTGCTTCCCACTGTGCTGAAGCTTCCCCTCCCTATGCCCAGGCTGCACGTAGGAATCAGCCCTTTCCCCAGTGGAGAGGCTCCGGGAGCCCCTGGCCCACTTTTTTATTTTTTATTTTTTATGTTTTATTTATTTCTAGGAGAGAGAGAGAGAGACAGCGTGAGCAGGGGAGGCTCAGAGAGAGAGGGAGTCACAGACTGAAACAGGCTCCAGGCTCTGAGCTGGCAGTCAGCACAGAGCCCGACACGGGGCTCGAACCCACCAACCGCGAGATCATGACCTAAGCAAAAGTCGGACGCTTAACTGACTAAGCCACCCAGGCCCCCCAACCCCTGGCCCACTTCTATAGGACCTTGGCTCTCCTCCCTTCCCACCATCCCCTGGACTGGCACCCCCCTGCTTTTCCTGGGAGGATTTCACTTATGTCACATTCTCCTTGTCCTGGGTGTTCTAAACTGTCAGGCTCAGGCTTTATGGAGAACAGGGAATCCTCTCTACATCATGAAGGAAACACTTCCATTGAGTCTGCCAATGAGGCAGGGGAAGCTATGGATGTAGGGACCAGGGAATTGAGGAGGACGAAACATTTACCAGCCTCAAAATGTTAAGTCCCAATCACATGTTTATATGCTTTTCAGGCTAGAGGAGGAAATCTTCAGGGTTTCAAGCAGGTTAGAAAATACTGAACTCATTAAGTATGTGACCAGATTGAACATCTGTGTCTTGCCAGATTCGTGCTTTATGGAAATCATTGTGAATTATGGGGCTGTTGCTGAATTTGGGGCATCTGGTGACTACTTGGCATTTGTGGCTTATGGTCTTACTGGAAACCCCTTTGGATGGTTTTCAAGGCTGTAATTCATGGTTATATGTTCTGTATTTTTCCCGAGACCACTGCTGGAATCCTGTGTTCACTACATAATGAGTATTTTATTTTTAGATGTGGATCACCTCTTAGGGAGGGAGTCTGTGGGGAAGGTGGGTAATGAACTATTTTTGACATAAATCACAAGTGCCAAAGAAAGTGGTAATATCCGAAGAATAAACAACAGTGACCACCATTCAATTGCAGAGACCGTGTCTGTATCTCCCACAACTTGCCACTTTAAGTTGTGTAATATTTCAAACATTTGGTCAGATTAACAATGAAGTAAGATCCAAAGGATTACCCCAAGCGTGCTTACTTTCTGTCTCTAATTCATTTGATGAAATGAAGGGAACCTGTCAGGCCCAGGAAAACACTTTGCTCTCCAGGACTTTCATTAGAAAACCCCGACTAAGTAACAAGACTAATATTTACTCTATGCAAACATTAGTTGTATGGACACTTTCTTGGCTTTTGTAGCCTTAGCTAAGTTTCTTTTTAAAAAGAGGAAATATATAAAATTTAAAATCCATCCTAGAGGTTTCTTCAAAACCTGTCTCTAGAAATCGCGGCACTTTAATGGATGAACTATGTAGAAAATACTGACAAAGATTCAGGTAGGTTGGGGATACTAGTTGACTCTCTGCCCGCAAAGAATGTAAATAAAAGTAGTGTTCACCGTCCAGAGTATTAACATCACCTATCATGTCTTCAACACCACTTAAAGGCTAGCAGTGTTAGGAGCTTGGGCATTAAATACGCCTTTTTTTTTTTTTTTTTTTTAATTCTTTCTTTCCTTTTCTTAAGCTTCGAAACTAGGGGCAGGGAACAAGGTAAGTGCATTCACGGCTCACTCTCCGAGCTTGCACGTCTCAAACGGCCCCTGCACTGTTTATTCTATATGTGCTCGCTCCTGCTCTTGCCCACATAACGGCGGGAACAAAGGTACAGTGTGAATCGCGAAGACGCGGGGAACGTAGACGGTGAGGTTCGCCTGGCTGGAGGGCAGGGCGTGGGCAGCGGGGTTTACGTGAGGACAGTCTCAGCAGATGGAACGAGCGGTTCGTGCAGAGGTTGGGGACCAAGAAGCCCCTTTCTTTAAAAATCCCTTCCCAGCTTCACGCTAGCAGTGCCTCCTGCGGATGGGGCCGCTTGGAGGGCACGGCCCGGGGAAGGGGACGCCCCGGGGCCCGGGCTGGGCGCCGCCGCCAGGAGTCCGGGCGCGGACTGGCGGGGGCGTGGTCGCCGGGCGGATAACGGGCTGCAGGGCGCCGCGGCTCGGGCCCCCGCCGGCGCCGAGCCCGGCCCCACGTCCCCTCCGCCCCAGCAGCCCAGCCGCAGACCGCGCGGGCGGGGCGGGCGCCTAGCGCGCGCCGGGAGGGTTTTTTTTTTTTTTTTTTTGGTCAAACTTTGGCCACGTGAACCGCCCCCCATTCACTTTTGCGCCAATCCGGCGGCGCGGACGGATCCCGAGAGGGGCCAGGCTCCACCGCCGCCGGGGCCGCTTCATAACGCGCCGTGCGTGACGTGAGGGGCTCCTGTTGCAATGGCGAGCTAAGCCGGAGGATGTGCAGCTGCAGCGGCGGCGCTGGCCACGAAGAGGACGGGGGCGGGCGCAGCGCGAGCCGAGCCGAGCCAGCCGAGAGACGCGGGCAGGGCGGGACTGGGGTGCGGACTCCGCTGCCACAGCCGTCGCCGTCGCGCTGGCCCCGCGCCCCCGTGCGCCAGCGGGAGGAGCCGCCGCCGCCTCGCGCTCGAGCGGCTGCCGGCGCGCGCCGGGCATGGTCCCCTCTTAAAGGCGCAGGCCGCGGCTGTGGGGGTGGGCGTGCGGAACAAAGCGGCGGCGTGGGGCCTTCGGGCGGCTCGGGGGCCGCGATGGGCGCGGCGGGCCCGCGGCGGCCGCGGCGCTGCCGGGGCCGGGCCTCGGGGCGCTAGGGCGGGCTGGCCTCCGCGGGCGGGGGCGGCGGGCTGAGGGCGCGCGGAGCCTGCGGTGGCGGCGGCGGCGGCCCGGCGGGCGGAGCGGCGCGGGCATGGCCGCGCGCGGCCGGCGCGCCTGGCTCAGCGTACTGCTGGGGCTCGTGCTGGGCTTCATGCTGGCCTCAAGGCTCGTCCTGCCCCGCGCCTCTGAGCTGAAGCGAGCGGGCCCGCGGCGCCGCGCCAGCCCCGAGGGCTGCCGGCCAGGGCAGGCGGCGGCCGCTTCCCAGGCTGGCGGGGCGCGCGGCGATGCGCGCGGGGCGCAGCTCTGGCCGCACGGCCCGGCCTCGGATGGTGGTCCGCGCGACAGGAACTTTCTCTTCGTGGGAGTCATGACCGCCCAGAAATACCTGCAGACCCGCGCCGTGGCCGCCTACAGGTGAGTCCCTGCTCCCCGGGAGCCGCCCCCTGTATCCAGCATCCCCGCGGGCGGCCCTGCCGGTATTTCGTTGGCTTGAGCGTTTGCCCGCTTCCCAGACCCGAAGCTCCGCGGCTGTGTTGGGCGTGGGAAGCAGAGGTCAGAGGCGGAATGGGGAACGCTGCTCACAAGAGCTTGTGCTCTGGGGTCAGGCGGACCGGGGTGGCCCCCGTGGGTGTGGTCCTCAGCCCGACTTTGTGCGAGAAGGCACTTTAGCTTTCCACGTCCCAGCTCTCTTTGTTAAAGGGGTCTGATGGACCATCTCTCTCATAAGGTTATTTGCACAGTATCTGTGGTAGTAGTGACAGTAACGGTTATCGTTCGATTCTCTAAAATATGGAGTCTGTCTAGCTCTTGCAGAGCTAGAGCCGAGGTCAGTTAATCTGGTTAGCGCCCTTCCGTAGCATACTTACAGATTTCCCAAGTGGAGGCACTCCTGTAAACGAAAAGGGCTTCCCACTGCGCCCTCGACCATGCCAGTCTGTTGAGTTACTGCAAAGAGAACCTTGGGAAGAGTAGTTCTTGGCCTATGGTAGATTCGGGGTTAACTATCTCAGTTTAGGGGTGTGTGTGTGTGTGTGTGTGTGTGATCCAGTATCTGAGTCCGCATTGGCCATATGAGTCATAAAAGTGGCCGGAATCATGTTCAGGATTAACAAAGGGATTAACCAAAGTAATCTTGAGAAGGGCGATGATTTTGGAATGGCCGATTTGTAGTGGAGTGAATTTGAGGTAGAAGAAAAGTGTGGATTCAATAAAGGGATTTAATGGAAGGTCGTATTTGTGAAGTACAGAAATGCTTACTGTGTGGGTAAGATTTGGGATTCATCTGGCCGCAGAACAAACCAATGGAGGGAGGTCCTCTGAGAATGAACTTTGAGAGGAGTCAGTGTTGAGCAAGGCCAAGCTTGTTACTGTTCTTAATTTACAACCAATACCTTTGAAACTTTGGCTTTTGAATTTAGTCCTGGTCTAAATGTTCAGGCATTAGATGTGAGGGGAGGGGCGCCTGGGTGGCTCAGTCGGTTGGGCGTCCAACTTCGGCTCAGGTCATGATCTCACGGTTTGTGGGTTTGAGCCCCGCGTCGGGCTCTGCGCTGACAGCTAGCTCAGAGCCTGGAGCCTGCTTCACATTCTGTGTCTCCCTCTCTCTGACCCTCTCCCCTCATGCCGTCTCTTTCTCTCTCTCTCTCAGAAATAATAAAAAAAAACATTTAGATGTGAGGGGAAAACATATATGGATTTTGTTCCTCTAAGGAGGAAGTACAGGATTGGGAAAGAAGATAAAAGAGCAATAGAGAATTTGGGCGCTTTCAGAGCATTGATTCTCTGTTCTGCGTGTTTCCATTAGGATCTTGTTTAAAGATCTAGCTTCTGCCAGGAAGTGTCATGAGTGCCTGAAAAGCTTAGATATAGCCACTCAGTGTAAATTTAAACTATGATAGTGATTTAGGAACCCACAGATAAAAATTTTCTCCCAGATCGCCCATGAATTATGTGAAATTTTATACAAATTGTGCTTTTTGACAAGAGACATGTCCACATGTGAAATTGAGGATGAGCTGTATAAATTGTTTACGGAATGGCTTTGAAAGTAAATCCACTTGACTGCCATTGGGTGACAAGCCCTGTAAAATCACAACTTTGGAGATGATTACCAAAGCAGTTTGTTCAAATGCTAGATTGCTCACCAAACAAATAACATTTTCACGGGTTCAGAATCAATATATACAAACCAGTAGGGGTCCTGGTACGCCAGCAAATGTAGCGCAAACTTGACCTACCCTTTCTACACTTGGAGAGGATCTTTTCCCTAAGCCCATGCTTGACCCTCTTCCCTTTAGTCTCCTTTAGCAAATCTCCTACCTCATCTTTTTTGGATGTAGGATTTACATCTCACCGTTTATTAACTTTCAGACAGTTGAGGGAAAGTAGAAACCCAGTTTGCCCTCTGGCTCCAGGTCTTCCTTTTCTGTGACCACTCTGCCTTTCTGATCAAGGAAACCCTTAGGAGGAAACTACCTGCTCGGGTGTTCTGTCAGTTTCCTGCAGTTAACTCCTCTCTTTTCTCTCCCTGATCTTAAGTCCCATTACTTGAACCTTGGGGGTGGACTTAACTTTCCTGTTCGGGCCAACTGCTTCTCAGCCTGTCAACCCTCTGTTTAGACTGGCTGCAGGAGATGGTACAAGACGATTTTAGTTTTGAAGGACTTTTGGGGAAGGCCTGAATTGGGACTGAGGTTACAGTGTGTAACAAAACTTAACGGCTTTGCTGTGCTTTGCAGCCCAGCCTGAAACTCCACACTCCGCTCTTAAAATGGAAATTTCACACACAGTTTGGCATAAAAGTCGGCTTGACTCTTACAGCACTAGGTAGAACTCTCGTTTGGCACTGGTTGTGCTCAGTTTTACATCTCCCCTAAAAGGCACACTCATTTTTTATCTTAAGAAATACACTCATGATTTTAGTTTTTTCTTTTTTAAAATCAAACTATTGTTTGACTTATCGGTTGAAGGAGATGCCAGCATTTTTAGTAAGCTGACAGTATGGTGTACTTTTATGCGAGGATATTGAAAATATCAGAATTAGGTCTCGGGACTAGTTATTGAGATCCAGAAAGGATCTTAAAAAGCCATTTGGAAATTCAGTGAGATCTGCCTTTCTGCACTAACGTTAGTGCATTTTAATGATGGAACAGCCCCATCATTATAGACTCTTACTTTCCCGATCTGCTAAATGCTTGAAGTGGTGAGAGGGGCCACCAAGGGATATTAGCAGTGCAGTGACAGCTGATAGCAGGCAAGAAACAGATTTTAAAAAGGAGGTAGGAAAAAACTCAAAAATGTGGTTGGTCAGAGACCCACCAGGGCTAACTTCTTCGATAGGCCCTCAGCAGACATCATAGCCATTAAGTCAGGGAGTGATCCTGGTTTGTAAGAATATTCAGTTACCAGGAGTACCTGGGTGCCTCAGTTGATTAAGCGTTCGACTTCAGCTCGGGTCATGATCTCATGATTCATCAGTTCAAGCCCCATATCAGGCTCTGTGCTGACAGCTCAGAGCCTAGAGTTTGTCTTAGATTCTGTGTCTACCTCTCTCTCTGCCCCTCCCCCAATCTCTAGCTTGTGTTCTCTCTCTCTCTCTCTTTCTCAAAAATAACTAAACATTAAAAAACAATTTTTTTTTTTTTTTTAAATATTCAGTTATAGGGGCACCTGGGCAGCTAAGTTGGTTAAGTGTCTGACTTATGATTCAGCTCAGGTCCTAATCCTGCAGTTCTTGGGAGTGAGCCCTGTGTCAGGCTCTGTGCTCGGTGGTGCAGAACCTGCATGGAATTCTCTCTCTCCTCTCTCTCTCAAAGTAAATAAACATTAAAAAAATATTCAGTTGCACTTATGATTCATTCCTTTGTTCAACAAATACATGCCTGGCCTCTCTGGGTCCAGACTCTGAGTGTTAAGGACACAATAGTGAAGAGGCTTATTCTCGTGGTGCTTTGCTTCTGTTCTGTTCTAGTGGAAAGGAAGACACTGAAAGGAGGGTTAATGATGGGTACTATGGAGAAAATAAAACAAGGAAAGGGGGGATGGCATCTGGAGAACTTGGTATTTTGGGTGCAGTCTTACCATGGTTGTGTGAATATCATTGATGAGCAAGGGAGGAGAGGGAAGAGCTGGTAAGTTACAAGGCAGGATCCAACTTGGAAGGGAATCAAAGAAGGCCAATAAAAAAAAGTGGACGAGGCCTGATAGTGTCTGGTCTCTTATTCTAGAAAGCCTTTGGAGGGTTTAGACAGGAAAGCATTATGTCCTAAAATATTAGTTGTGCCCATTGTGTGGAGAATGGACTGGAGAGAATCAGGGAGATGTTAGGAGGTGGTTGGAGTAGATGTGTGGGTGGCAGGGACTGGTGTGGTATCAGTAGAGGTGTGAAGTGGATGTTTCCAGGATATATGCCGGAGGCGAGGTAAAGATGTGCTGACAGAATGCTAGTGAGGAGTAGGGCAAAGAGGAATCACAGCGCCTTCTTGGGTCTTGCCTTGAAGCACAGTGTGAGTGGTTGTATCATTTATTGAGGTGGGGAAAGTGAGTCAACAGGTCTGGTTTTGCATAAGAGAAGTTTGAAGAAAACTCAGACACACAGGCGGAGGAATCCTTAGCTTCATAAATGTAGTGAATTTACAAGGAAATTAAGAAAAGGGACACCTGAGTGGCTCAGTTGGTTAAGTGTCCAACTTCAGCTCAGGTCATGATCTCATGGTTGATGAGTTCAAGCCCACATTGGGCTCTTCGCTGACAGCGCAAAGATTCTTGGGGTTCTCTACCCCTCTCCCGCTCTCTCTCCTGCTCACTCCCTCTCTCTCTCTAAGTAAACTTAGAATTTAAAAAAAATAAAAAACAAGAAATTAAGGAAAGATTTACATCTGAGGTGGTTACACTGCTGGAGCTCTGAAGCTCTCTTAAACGAAAATTGCCTAAGGGTTCTGTTTAGCTGGGGTTTTACAAATATATAAAGAAATTTGTTTTGACTTCTACTCTACAGAGTATTTGTTTTCTTGGCAATTTCACTTCAGAATGGTACCTTGATTCTTCCAGAGTGATTTGTTAGGCCAGTTAATGACTGATCATTAGAACCCTGCGTTCTTTGGGTCTTTTGTTACTAGCTACAGTTCATATTATTTCCATATTTTATTCTTTGTTCTTAGTTACGGTGTTTGATACATAGAAGTTCATGTAGTTCAGTCTTCACCTTTCTGATTTTAGGGTATCTCCCCTCTGCCCATCTCAAGCTCAGAAGGTTATTGCCCTGGAGCTATTTTTAAAAGCAACATTTTTTTTTTCTAATTGCCGAAGGGGTAGAAATCATCTCAATCCCATTTCCACCCCCCCTTCCCCAATAGTACATTGTTTCAGTACCATCTGTTGAATAATCTCCCATTTCCCTACCAATATGAACTGCC